TCTCAAACCGACTTCTCAGGTCACGCGAGCCACACAGGCGCATGCTAGGCTCACTCTAAAAAGGGAAATTCGGTTATCACGGGTTTTGAAAAGAAACAAAAAAGAAAAAATAGAAAAATAAAAATGCGAAGAAACTCACTATGCCGCGCCAACCTCGAACCGAAACATGGTGGTTCGGGTCCCATTTAACGATCTGCAGATCCCAGTTGGGAGAAGCCTCCCAAACACTCAGCCGACGCACCGCTCTCGACCTTCCTCGCGAGGACGTGTTACCCTCTTTCGAGGGCGAACCACCTTGTCCGAAACTAGTCCTCCTAAAACCTTCTCGGCATCGACAAACGGGGGAGAATCCATGCTACAATCGATGGAATTTTAAGAAATTACACGTTTAAGTATGTTTTCTAAATCCTAAAAGAAACGTAAGGACGAACCCTAGGCCCATTTCGGCAGCATAACGGTTGCAAAAAGGGAAAAACACTAAGGCGAATGCCACGCAATACTTGGGGGCTACGACACCTGCAATTTAACTTAGTAAATGAAGGCTCAAACACCCACAAAGCCAACCTATACCAGTTCAACTAACCATTCTAAAGATTATTTCTAAAAATCTTAGAAGTTAATAGTTCGTGGATGAATAATAATCACCCAAATATAGTTATCATCTACCAAACAATTATTTTGAAGCTTGAAAATGGCCAAAATAAATAATTAAAAAAAATGCATTTCGCGCAATTTCTCGAAATCAAAATTTTCAAAACATGATTCATGAACATAATTGTAGGCATAACACTATAATTCACTTCATAATCAACAAGTATGACCAAATGAGCTAGCAAAAAAAAAAAAAAAAAAAAAACAAGCAATTCAAACTAAAAGTCAAAAGAAAAGTGTGAAACGAACTTGAACAAAGTCATGGTCATACAAGGTTCAATACTTAGCCATTTTTTGTGAAATTTGTTGCAAAACTCTCCTTAAACATAGCATAATAACATGAAAAAAACAATTTCAAGAATTATGGACTGAATTGAAAAGCCCCAAATTCGAAATTTAGGGTTCTTCATTTCGTAATTCCCCAAATTTGGCCAAAAATAAGTAAAAATGACAAGAAACATACAGTGGATTTGGCAAATACAAGTGGGATGTCAGATCTCCTCTCTTTGGCTTCAAAAATAGCGGATAAAGGAAGGAGATAGAGCAAACTGAAATCGCGCTCTTCGATCTTCTTTTTATTGATTTAAATATCGCGTACAACTCTCTAAGTTGCACGTGACATACCAGCACAACTCAGATCCTTGTGCACGCCTGGCCAACGTAACCTACTAAGTTGCGCACGGATACTGGTCATTTAAAAGATCGGTATCCTAATTTTGATCCGTTTTGAATTTTTTCTTAGGGTTTTGTGTGTTGTTAGACGTAATAACGCGTTAATCATCAAAATCCTTTTAATTGCTTTGCATCTTGTAGTTTATTTTCTTCTTTGATAGTTTTTTGCATCATCCTGCATGCACACCGTGCTTTGTGCCTGCCCCAAGCATAAGTTTTGGATGTTTTTCGTGAAGCGTCTTAAAATGTCCCATAGTGGTGCTTTATGTATAAGCTCCCATAGAAAGTTTGGCATTTTCCTGTACTGCCTTTTTAGAAATGTCACATTTTTTGTATTTTTGGCGTCCATAACAAAAATACAGCATATCGTACAGCGTAAAATTGTATGGTGTATGTGCTGCGTAAAATTGCACTAGCAACGTGATCTGCCTCCCGTCAAAAATGGTAGAACTTCTGTTTTTGTCATTAGGCATTTGCATAAACAAGTTCACGAGCGCGCCGAACCATCGGGGTTAGATGCCCCCTGTTGGAAGCAAATACGGTTAGCTAGGAAGCAATCTAGCTTTACCGGACAGTTAGGGTGTCCGTCCACCCCCTGTATAAAGAGCGGCCCTTGCTAAAGCCGCACCTATTTAGACACCTGTTTTCATCTTGTGGATAAAACTGCCGAGAGAGTTGCCGATTTTCTTCTCCCTCACTGGATTTGGATATGTTCCAATGTATTTCTATCTTCTGGACATCGAGTATCTGTTTTAGCAGCGTATGTCAATCTTTTATTCAAGTGCTAGGCTACAAATGCCAAAACACCCCCCATTTTATCATCTTTTACTTTGTTAAAATCATGGACTAAAGTTTCAATGATAAATCAAGGGACTTTAGACCGCCGATGACATATTAAGAGGGTATCATCCTCTTTACTCTTTTTAAACTCGGTACCTTCTCATAACATGATATCACCTAGGATAGCCTTTACTTGTAAAAGTTTTCTACACTAGCAAAGGGTCAATCTAGATTCTTTAGCGCACTAGAACCAAAAGATACCTTTTCTGGTCTTATCAGCTACTTGTCTTGAACACTTAGCGAATCGAGAATAATTTCGACATTCTCAACACTACTGAAAGATTCCTTATCCCTAAGGAACTTCGCAGAATGAGTCTCAGATTCATTTCGTTGGCTACTTTAATACTCGTCTATTCTAGACTTGATAAAAGTGGGGGCTTACTATAGACATCTACTTTTGGTCCCCTATCTCGACTAGAAATGCTATGACGATAAATAATTCCATCTTTAAGCTAGATTGGAGTAAAGAATGCTTATGGACTACTGATTAAGGCCTAAACATATAAACCAACTAGCTTGACCCAAAATGAATGAACCAAAGCTAGTTAATACTAAGCCCGATCAGCAATTAGGCTTAATCCCGAGATTAAACCTAATTTTGTAGATTTAGAAGCGCCTAGGTTAAAATCCTAGGGCTGCCGCAGGAAAAATCGCACGTAACTCAAGGAGTTGCGCTGGCCTGGCGCACACAACTCATAAGGTTGCGCGTGACACCCATTGCAACACACAGTGATGCGCTTGCGGAAAATTCATAATTTCATAAATATACTGAATCAAATCTTACCATAAAGCCACACGCAAGACCATAGGTTACGTTTCCTAAAGGAGCGCGTCTAATTCACTTGCGCAGCAGCCGCGCAACCTGTTGAGTTGCACGCGCCACCTGATACGGCAAAATGTCCGAAACCCTAACTCACCCATTCCCTATAGATAGGGGTTCAATACGAGCTTTGAACACACAAAAATTAGCCTAAAAAGTTAGCAGAAACTTTGTGAACTTATATTCAATAATCATCCCTCTTGTCCTAAACACCCACCCTTTAATTGTTTTGTTTTTACGGTGGAGGTTCCCGAACAAGAAGGAGTCCATAAGTGTTCTAAACAAGATCTAGCAGGGAAAAGTTGTAAAATCCCGAGCACTTAGATAATTCACCTTTCTTTTCTTGCTTAAAAAACTTTTAATAAATTAATTATTGTTGTTTGATCACTTTACAAAACCTTTAATTAATTAATTTCACATAGTATTCTTGCGTTAAATCAAGACTAGAATTTAAATAATTAATTGTTTGTTTTATCACCTAAGCCAAGGCGAATATTGTTCATTTCTTGTTTCTTTCACGAATTTGAATAATAAAGAATAACGACATTCATTACAATGTAATCTTTATTTGATCAATGCTTTTAAAAAAAACCAACTAACTTAGTTTTAGGTATCATGTTGCATACATTGTTTGGTAATGAAATTGTGAAAAAGGAAGAGCTAGTAGAGGCCACACTTGGGCTAGAATAGCGATTCCTCCCTAAAAGGAACGTCATTTTAGTACCCTCGCTCCCGAACTCATTTCTGGTACAAGTAGACCAATTTGGGCATGGGGAAACTTATGATTCATGCTAAATATCCCTTGAACCCTACTTGGGAGAAAGGCATGAACGAGGTTTATGAATTTTCCTAAAACTCATTGGCGACTCCCTATTAGTTTCTTACAAAAAAGCGTAATGATAGAATCAATTCTAATTCAAGGTCCCCAAAACAGTCAGGATTTCAAATCCTAACACACCTTAAAAAAGTGTTAAGTCCTAGGCTTTAAAGGGCCTTGGGCATATAAGAGAAGGATCCCCTATGATGGGCACACCCTCCTCACACAAACACACAAATTCAATAATTATTATGTCTAATTATTAATAGCAAAAGTTATACAAATTTGATATTATTTAATAAATTAAGATGTTAGAGGACTAGCTTAACTGTTTGGACCAACTTAACCAAAAGGTTAAGTTAGCTAACGGTTGAAGCCCAAGATAGGTTTATATATTGACATATGAGAGCCTATTGGTCATTGTTAATGGACCATCTCAACCAAAAACTTAAGCTGATGGTTAAAGCCTAGGATCGGTTTATATACTCTATCACGCCCCTCACATGAGAGCCTATTGAGCTTGAAATGTGGATATAGCATGGACCCTACCATAACCAACAATTAATATTCCACTTTGAAAGGAGGGGTGGATGAAATTCGAACCTATGACCTTTGTATCACGTTGGCTCTTTATGCCATGTCAATGGAGCATCTCAACCAAAAGCTTAAGCTGATGTTTGAAGCATAGGATCGATTTATACACTTTATCACCAACTAAAATAAATTGAGGAATGCTCAAATTAAATAGTCTAGAGATATTACCCGAATCACGGGTCATGTGAGAAGTCGTCCCCGTGTCCATCTACCATCTGTTATCGGGGGGTTATAGGCTCATCAAACTGTATGCCTGGCCTAATTCTGTTGGTGACATGAGTTGGCCGTAGTTGGGCTGGACTGAACCTGCATAGTAGGGTTGATTATGCTAAGGACGCGGGCCCAAAAAAAGGCTTGAAGGCCACGGTATTGTTGTTGTCCGTGAGATGGGTCAGTGGAGTAAGGGTAGGGTGGTGAAGCCCGCTGCCCTGATGCTGGGTCCATCTAGACTAGGCTGCCTACTGAGGAGTCGCCTGCTGATGCTGGTAAGTAGGCCTAGTTGGCTGATTTGCTTGTTGTTGCGAGTTGTTGCCTCGACCTCGCCCACGACCCATGCCTTTGTTATTGCTTCCCTTTGCCTTTCCACGACCACCACCCCTACCACCTCTACGCAACTGACGGTTGATGTGGTGGAGACAAGGTGTTAGCGTATGTAACGATGAGGGCTTGTTTCCAACTTTCTTCTTGTTTGTTCTTTCGGGTTTCCTCCAATAAGAACATTGAACGAGCCTTGTTGAAATTCGGGGTTGGCTCGGATTGGGAGACAATAGCAGCCACGGTGTCATATTCACCCTTAGTTAGTCCCGCAATTAGTTGCATAACCATCCTACGTTCAGATACCGGGCAATCAACGTTGGCTAGTTGATCGGCAAGGAGCTTGATTTGCTTACAATAGTTAGACATGTTAGCAAAATGTTCAAGCTTTTTGTTCGCGAACTTCTCTTCCAAGTAAACAGCCCTAGTATGCTTATTATCATGAACACCTCTTCGAGTCAGGTCCATAATTCAAGAGCCGTGGCACCCGGTTTCATGATTGTGTGAACAAGGTCTTTGGAGTTGGTACCATAGATCCATTGCTTCACGATAGCATCTAATCTCTTCCATGTCGCATCATCAATGTCTGTCGAACTAGAAACCTTTGTATCTATATGATCGAGAACATTAAAAGCACAAGCTTGAATTTGAAAAAGTTCGACTCACGTATCATATTGTGCATCTTCTTGATATAGGGATATGCTCATGAGGTTTTTGATGTTGGATACGGCAAAAGCTGGGTAGAAGGGGCCGTTTGAGGGAGGAGGAAGAGGGGGGCATCATCGCTGGCCATGAGAGGCTGTAGGAGACTGCTAGGTTGATAGTGGTGGACGGCTAGGTTATGGTAGGTCCAATAGGATCATTTAGGGTTTGAGAGAGAAAAGAAAAGAAAATCCTAATAGGAATCTGATGCCATGTAGAATAGTGTGATTCTCCTTAGTTGGAGTGTTATCATTAATTAATTTATATAGGTATTTACAAACCTAATTATGAAAAACTTGATTACACAAGATATATCTTTACAGAATATTAATAAGATAATATTAACCTATTATTTATTATACATAAAATGTGGATGCAGCTTAGTCCATCGATCCTTATATTGAGCACGAATAAATTCTGCATGTAAGGAAGGGTATGTGAATGAGATTTGGACTTGTGTTTTTTTTTGTCCAGTTGACTCTAATACCATATTAGAGAACTAATTCAAAAAAAAAATTAATCTAATGGTTGAAGCCCATGATTAGCTTATGTACTTTATCATTTATCGTAACTATAAATTACAAAAGCTAATTCAAATAGAGTTTGTGAATTGTGTCAATTTTCAAAATGTGTCAACTAAAAAAGAGAATGGAAAATGTATTTCCCTTTTATTATTATACATCCTCCATCCTTAGGCCAATTGTTTGCCTCTAAATCGTAATAGTATAGCACGCGTTAAGCTTTTTGGCTAAACATATGTTTTTTTTAATTAAGAAATTGTACTATGTTAATTTGTATTGTTCTTACATTTTTTTTAAAATAAAAACCATGTGTAAATATAGATCGCATATTATTAGTAAAATAAAATACTACATAAATGTAATGCATTATATTTATATATTAAAAAAAAAACAAACTATGTATGTTACATTTAGAAATACAAATTGCATCAAACAAAAACCCTATATAGGATTAATTCAATCCCAACATGTAATGTATTCATTAACCTCTATACGGATGCATTAAATAATGACACTATTGAAATACAAGATAAGTAATAAAATAATTAAGCATTAACCAAACACTAATTCTTCCTATAATTAAGATTTTATTATTTATGTTTTCTTAGTTAATATCTAGAAATACGTGAGAATACAAAGGCAAATAAAATCATCTATTCAAAAGTAATCATATAAAACTCTCTTTAAACTATTACAATTGTCTTCTCACAAAATTGATATACGAAGTACTGTAATTTCCATCCAATATATTGTTCATTTGTTGAATATTGAATTTCTCCTACAAAACACACAAAATCACCAATTACTAAATTGAATCGACAATCCTTAAGAAATTTAGAAAATATGAAAATAAAAAACAAAATTAATACCAATTATTAAAGACAAAATATATAGGGAGTAGAATGTAAAACTTAGAAAAAGGATAAAAAGAAAATAAAGAAATAAAAATGAAAATTAAAAAAATCAACAACAAAAATCGCAAAATAAGACAAAGTCAAATATAAAATTAGGATAATATCTAAATAAAAATAATCAAACAAATATTAAAAAACTATAAATAAAAACCATAACAATAAGCGTAGCTAATAATGAAATTAAACAATTTAAAACGGAATATGAAAAATGATCAAGTAAAAAAAATTTGTTTTCCAAAACTATATCAAATTTTAGCAAAAATAGTATTAAAAACACAAAAAACAAAATCACAAACATAAAAAGGTAAAAAAATTACAGAATTTAAAATAAAATTCGAGATCTTAAAAAATGAAAATGAAAATGAAAAATACAATGAAATTTAAAATTTTTTGAAAATTGAAATAAAAAATAAATTGTAAATAAATTAAAATTGAGAAAACTGACCTTTGAATGCTCCCTTAAATTAAATACCACTGTTATTTTTTGAAGTTTATATCCTTAAAATTATTTTTTTTTAAAATTACTGATAAATTGTAGATTTAGGGTGAAAGAGAGGAATAGTAGAGAGGAAAGGAAGAGAAAGAGTAAAAAGTGAGAGAGATGAAGATAAAATATTAAGTTTTTGTCTAATTGAAAAATAATAAGTAATAGATTTAGAGGAACCAAAAGACACAATTGAACATTGATCATTTTATTTTTTGAAGGGATTGATAGTGTTTGGGATAAAGAATTTTTTTTTTTTTCAAATTTTTTTTTAACACTTCGGTTGAAATAAAAAATAAAAAATAAAAAAACTGAAATACAAGAAAAGGACAAGTTCCCTTCAAACTTTCTCTTTTAAAAAAAGTGTATAGATATAGATTTGATTATTTATTGCTTAATTTTTGTTGGATTACTGCTTATTCAAATGATTGCTTAATAATTAATACTTCATACGTTTTACAAAGATATTTCGATTTGGAATCTTTTGACTATAAAAAATAATGAGAGATAATCTTCAAAATTATTACCAATGTATAAGAAAAAGAATATATAATCATACATGATTTGATTTTTTTTCATTTTTGTTAATGTGAAATTTAATATAATTCTTCCATTTCATTTAAATTGCATCATCACTTTATTACAACAAAAGTTTCAAATTAGTTGCATCACATTCCTTTTTTATTTAATAAGCTCTCTCTATCTCTCTCCATCCTATCACATGGGTCCATCTTTTTTTTTCTATCTATCTCTTTCATCTCCTAAAATTGCCTAAGAATTTGCAATTTACAAAGTGATGCAACTAAAAAAATCGAAGGAAGTAATTACTATAAAATATTTGCATCAATAAACATAATCAGGGGAGATTATTATGAAACGATTGGAGTAAAAATTGGTAATATCATGCTTTTTTACATTTAATAATTTCAAAATTAGAGCATCGTTCGGTTATTATCAAATAAATGAACAAAAAAAAGTATTCATTAATGGACCGCATACTTTATAAAATGTGACATGCACCCATTTTATAAATTTTTTTACATGAAATCCCATATAATAAATATAAAATAGAAATAATAAAACTTGTGCATATACTAGTTCCGTTTTTAAATACTTGCTCAATTACTACTTTTTGTACTATTTATTTGTCCTACTTTGACTAATGTTTGCGATTTATACATAAGAAAAAATATAGTCTTATGGGTACTCGTTGAAATCGTCTCAATGAATAGATTATTAATATTCACTTGTTAGAATTTATACTTATTGATAATTAAACATATTTTTGATCAAAGATTAGCATCAACATATGTGCCCAGGAGAAATGGAGCAAGTATTTAAAAACGGAGGGAGTACAACCTTTAGAAAAGGTTTTTCAATTACGATAAATAAAGCAAAATTGTTGGAATTTGATGGATTATGGTTAGAAAAAAACCACTAATATATGTTTATCCATATATGTATTTCTCTATACGTATTTTTCTAGAGAGTATTAAATTTCATTTGCAATGTAATCTCAAAAACATTTCAAATAAGACAAAAAAAAAATCTAATATATACATAAATAAAGTAGGTATTTTTCGGGAGTATTCAGCGCACCACATAATCAAATATCTTTTTGAACCAATGGAATAAGAAATTCATAATTTATTTTAGAATTAAAAAATATCAATCGCCACATAAGCAAAATTAACAAATGACATTTCAGAGTTTAATTTTATGTGTTGCGTAGCTAAAAAAAAAAAGAATAGTGATTTAGGATTTAAATTATTTAATTAATAATAAATTATTATTTTCACGTTAAAAATTTTATCCTAATATTCTACGAATGAAACAAACTATACAAAGGCATTGTTTTGGAGGAAGCCCCAGTTTATATCCTTGATAAACAACATTTGTCTATTAAATGGCAAAACTGTAAATAAATCAACAAATTTGCCTACTTATCATGACATATTTGTAAATAAATCAACTATTGTGGGGTCCACTTTCTAGTCAACATGCATATTTGTAAATAAATTAACTATTGTGGGGTCCATTTTTAACAAAAAGTTGTTGATTATTACAGTTTTGCCGTTTATCAAGAAGATAAACTTGTATTTTCTCATTATTTTGACCAATGAAAAAAACAATTACATTTTGTTTTAGAATTAAAAAATCAATAAACACATAAAATTACAAATAATGATTTAGGATCTAAATTATTTTTTAAAAAAATATCCTTTAAAATATATTATTCTAATATCCGATGAATGAGATATCATATTTACAATGTATTTTTTAATTATAAATTCAATTTACATATAACATACATCAACAAATAAGGTCGCATTATAAATTACATTAAAATAGTTAAAACTATTCTTTTCTAACAAGCAATAGCAAATTAATCAAGAAATAATATGCTTTAATAAAGAAAATTATCCCTTCGTCATGAGTTTATGTATAAAAAAAATTGTGCATCACACGGGCTTTCATCTATAAAAGATAGTAAGGGAAATTCAAAATGTATATAGTTTTACTCTTAATGTTATATATAATCCATATCTATATTAATCTAATAAATCAATTAAATAGCGTTCTAAAAAACATCTATGTTCCATGTATACCCTCCCTCATTACGCCACATCACTCACTCAACCGGTCATTGTGGCACGTCACCCACTCAACTAACATTACTCATTATCTCTAATTAAAAAATATAGGAAAAAGTAAGGATAATAAGGAGATTTGAACATCCAACCTCTTCAAATTAGGATGATTATTTTACCATCCAAACAAATTCCCAATCGTGATATAACCTTACACATGAATCTATGGGAATTTCCCTTTGGTAACATTAAATGT